GACGCTGTACCGCCTGCCCTTCGCCGTCCTCGAGTGCCCCAACATCAAGCTGAAGCGGCCGAGCTGGGTGCACATGCCCTCGGCCATGACGGTTTACGCGCTGGTGGTGGTGTCTTACTTCCTCATCACCGGAGGTGAGGCCGGGGCGGGCGGGAGACTCCGCTTACGGAGTAGCTCTGGGCTGCTGGCCCTTGCCCCGGGTAGAGAGCCACTGCTGCTGCTGACCAGTTGTCCGGCTCCAGAGCGGTCCTAAAACACAAACTTCGGCCAACTCCGAGCGTCCCTGCGTCGTTAAAGCAGTTCTCGCAGTTTGCTGCTATGAGTCAAAGGTGATGTTTGTTCTTCTCCCCGCAGGGATTATCTATGATGTGATTGTGGAACCTCCCAGCGTGGGGTCAATGACAGACGAACACGGGCATCAGAGGCCGGTGGCATTCTTAGCATACAGGTAGGAGCAGGGCTCTGCCACCACAAACGAGGTGCTGCAAATGCCTAAGCACTGGTGAATAAACCTGTCTTACAGAGCTGTGCATCTGTTTTTTTTTTTGAGCTCTCTGTGCAAGGCAAGATCTGTTCTGTATCAGTCCTTGGTTTGCAAATATTTAAAAAAAAAAAAGAAGATGCAGCATTGAAATGAGTGGAAATAGAAAAGCTCTGTCCTTCTAAAACTTTTAAAAATGAAAAGTCTAGTAATAAAAAAGTTTTGAGTTGGCAGTACTTCTCTTTCTTCCAAACTCTTGCTATTAAAGTTCAGTTTTACGGTGGTTGTAGACACATTTGGTCATATTTCACAGCAGTATACAATAATGTTTGTGAAACTTTCGGTTCTAGCCTTTTAAACTCTAATGTAATTAGGACTCTTGCGTCTGAGGGTGGGGAACACTGTTACAAATGTCTGACAACAGTGTCATCTTTGAGTCTTTTGCTTCTATTACTGATAATAAGCTAGAGACTGCTTAGTAACAAATTGGGCTGAAGAGGGTTAAATCTACATTTGTAACTGTTTTTTACATGTATGGAAACAAATAATGTTTTTTTGTTAAATACCAAAAAAGTTATTTGAATCTGTGTAGACTGTGATATGCCTCATACACTGATTTTTACTTGACTATATGTAGTGTATGTCTCAGAATGGCTTGGATTGTTGCAATGTAGATGAGTCAGGCTACTGCAGGGAGTTGATAGCACTTTAGTACAATTCAGTGAAAACAACATGAAGATGAAATTGTTTGTTTTCAGGATATGAGACAATAGTGATAATCTTCATTTCTATATTAGCATCCACAGTAGTTTCATTCATGCCAGATTTATGAGGTTGCTAATATTGCTAATTAGGAGGGCAGGAAAAAGGTTCGGTGACTGTGGGAAGTGGGAGACTCATGATCCACGTGCAATAATTTTTCTACATCTCAGCTTCCCCTCTCTCCATCTGAGCTTTGTAAGAAGGAAATCTGGCAACGTGGACTGACAGAGAGCCAAGGCACTTTCAGGCTGGTCCCCATAATCTATGTGTAGGGTCAGCGAGCCGGTAGCAAAACATACTGCAGTAAAGAACCTCTTTTGCTGTGTGCTGGAACCAGTAGATGTGGTTCACGTGCTGACATAATGCTTTGAGTGGAATTTGTACCGAGATGAGGATTCAGGCACTGCTGTCTAAACGTCGGGATGGAATACT